TTTAAATCCATAAGTTATAAAATTTTGTATAATTTGACCCAACATAGATGATCAAAAATATTAGTTTGACCAATTCAGCCCCTTATTTTGGTAAAGTTGGCAATTTTAGTCCTTTTTATAAAAAAAATGACATATTAGGTCCTTGAACTAGTTTTCTTTACATTTTTTACCCAAACACTTATTTAAATAATGTTTTAAGCCCAAAATTTAATTTTGGACAGTTTCAACCCCTTAGTTAAAAGATTTGCATTTAAATCCCCGCGTTTCACAATTTTTACAATTTTGAACCAAAATCGAAAATCTTTGCATTTTTAGTCCCTTTTGATAAATAAGGCCATTTTAACCCCTGAAATAGGTTCATTTACGTTTATAGCCCCTGTTTTGAGAAAACTTTCCATTTCAGCCCCCTTAAATTTGATTTTTCGCATATTTGGGCCTAAATAGCCGAAAGCCCAAATTTTAGCCCATTAGGCTAAAACTTACATTTTTAGTCCTTTAAAAAGCATAAAATTTATAAAAACTCTTATTCTAGCTGTTTTGACCTTTTGATCCTTGTAAAAACCGTGAATGACATCTTTTTCCCCATCTTTTGTTTATTTATCAAAATAGTCCAATAACCAACTTTATGTTGAAGTATGCTTATTATAAACCTTGTATGGTAGCTTATCTTGACATGTTAAGTGAAATATATCCTAGATCACATATCTTTCCTTCTTGCACTATAGATCTCGAAATATCTTTCATTTTTAGCACATATTCACCACATAAACACAAGAAATCACACATAACATACAAATACACATAGATCTTCACATTTTACTTGTATTCTCCCCCATAAATCATATGAAAACCGAAAATAGAGGGGTATGAACTCACCTTGCTTTGATGTTCACGGTTTTGAAGAAGAAAGGATGAAAATTATGAGATCTTTCGGCCTAACAAGCTTCTTTAGAAGTCTTTGGGCTTAGATTGCTTCTAAGGAGTATGATCATGAATTTGAATGAATTAAAAGATGATTTTTGATGAGATATAGAAGTTAAACTTTGGATTTAAGTAAAAACTTACCAAAGATTTGTGTTATGAGTGAAAGATCTTCTTGGCATTTAAGCAAGTCTCGAAATTTTGAAGGAAGAATGGAGATGTTCTTGAGAGAATTTGATAGTATTGGAATGGAGTTTGGTATGTGTGTGTGTGTTACTACCTTCGGCCGTAGATGAGAAGAGAAAGAGAAGAGAGAGATAGGTAAAGGGATGGATGCATAGAGATATGTGAAATTGCATGGAAGTCCAATATGTAATAAGGAGGTGGCTAACCCTCCTTAATTCCCTCAATTTCTTGTTTTTTGTTTTCTACTTGGGCCGAGAGAGAGAGAGAGAGAGAGAGAGAGAGAGAGAGAGAAGGAAGAGAATGGCTTGGGCCTTTTGTGCTTGAGTCCATAATATGAGGCCCAATTTGATGATTTTCGGCCCATTGGGCCTTTAGAGTAGTTCACGGCCCAATTTAGCATAAAGGAATTGATTTGAGTCTATTAAAGCTAATTGGATTTGTTATGGCCCAATAAGGCCCATTAAGGGTAAACTAGTCCATTTTAGGCTTATAAGGCCCAAAAAGGTTAAGTCTCATGAGAGTGGGTCCAATGGGAGCCCATTTAAGAGTTCTACGCCCCAAAATAGTCAAATTGGAAGTTTATTGGCCCATTAGGCCCAATAGGAAATCCTAGTCCATATTGGACTTAAACCGGGGTTTCTAGGGTTTCCGACCTTTTGTAGACTATTTGAGCGTTTGTATGGAGTGTTTGATGGAATTTTGTTGTCATTGAATAAGCATCATACATGCTTTCAAGTTTTAGTTACAATGTTATCCTTGTTAATTGTTTACAAAGCATCAGAATTCCTAGTTGTGACAACACTACAGCTTTCCATTCCGATCTCAAACCATTCATAAACGTGACTTTTTTCTCTATTATTTCACGTCTGATTTTGTGTTTCAACATCCTACTTAAAAGATGATTAAAATAATTGAATGTTTGATCAAGTTTTTCTTCTGGCTTTTGAACAAAATCACCAAACTCCGATAGAAGCATTGTTTGAACTGAATGTTCCAAATCTGCATCGCTTGAATAGAGCTCCTTTAACCTATCGCAAATTTCCATTGTCGTCTCACAAGAACTCACCAGACGAAAAGTATCTGGTGGAAGAGCAAACCTTATTATCCTCAAGGCGTTGATGTTACTTTGCAACTTTTCCTTCTCATCTTGAGGAATATTCGTGTGTTCAATAAGAAGAGCGTTGTATTCAGCTTGAGTTTTGATAACTTTCCAGGTTTCTGTGTGAGAAAACGTCTCTTGTGTCATTGCCTGACATATCATTGAGTCGTGTTTTTCAAGACCTAAAACATAGTCTTTGAAGTGCAAAGCCCAAACTTCATAATCCTGTGGGAAAAGGATAGGGATCCTGGTAGTAGATCCGATGCTGCTGGACAGATTGAAGGAAAGAGTATGAGGATCTTCTAGTTGCATGATGTTGATTCACAAAAACCTGTACAGAATCAGATGTGTAAAACAATAATCGAGTTTAGGGAAAAAACAAAGACCCAGATCTAACGTCTACAATCAATGAAAAATGATGAAGACGACTAGAGCAGATCCAACAGAAACTCAAAACCATAATAGAACTCGACAGAAGATTTGCGTATGAGTTACACAATCTCCTGCTCTGATACCAATTGTAAGACAATAACTTTAAAGATCCATAGATTCAGTAATAGTAAAGTGAATCAAAACAGTAAGAAAAATGATCAAAGATGTGCCGAATTCTTAATATTATCAAAGCTTTAGAAGAGTTCAGTGAGAACTTTTCTGTAAAAGCAATGTAGGGAAATCCCTTTGATTCCTGCTAACACGATACATGCATACAGTATATATATAGTCTAACCCTAGCACCATAATGACGGATGGACAGGCCCAATCCGTTAATAAAGACTAAATACATACATGATAAATTTGACACAACACATTAAATATCCCAACACAAAATACCCCATACGTTAAACGTACACGCAAGCATAGTTGCCACTCTTCGGCCTTCGTCCTGACTGGACCGCCTTGCAGGCCTTCAGTCTATCCAGGCCGGAATACGAGGGTTTGTTGGCCTACTGCCTCAACCCAACCACTCCTCCCGAGCCTCCGTGCATTCGGCTTATAGCCGGTCCGCACATGGTATCTTGGCCTACAACACAAAGCAGGACCGCCTCAGTCCACCACCACCATATGTCGACATATAAATAAACAAGGATCAAGCAGGAACATAAAACAAGCAAAAAAACAATCATACAGCTCACTCCCACCTACTAGTCCTCTCACAGCACACAGTCACACTACCAGCTAACCTCCATGAAATGTGTAACCATAAGTAGCCATAGGTGAGATAGCCACCCGAACAGAGGATCCTACTGTAGAGCCACAACCAAACAAGGAACAGGCAAGAGTGCCTAGACCAAGAGTTCTCAAGCTATCCTACATAACCACAGACAGTCCCTAGGGTACTCGACCAGATGATAACTAGTAAGTACATATAACATACAAATCCAACGGTGCACTATAGCACAGCAACATCCTACATACCAGGATACCGATCTAACAGATCACTACAGCATAACAATATACTTAATACCAGAATACAGATCAATCAGGTCACTACAACATAGCAGCATACTCGACACCAGAATACAAATCTAACAGATCACCACATCCTACCAACATACTCGATACCAAAATTCAAATCTAGCAGATCAATACAATATAGCAGCATACTCGACACCCGAATACAGATCTAACTTAAAAGTGCCCAAAATGGCTAGATCTCTTTGCATGGTTCTGTGGGAGCTCATGCCTCCTCTCAAATCACCACCAAAAGTCCATATCAGAATAATAAACAACACTAAAGCTCTGAATTCCCTCAAACTTCAAGAATAACTTACAAAAGTGACCAAACACAAACACACACACACACATATATATATATATATATATATATATATATATATATATATATATATATATATATATATATATATATATAACCTAAATCATTGGATTAGACTCATAAAATTATGAACTTTATCACTTATCAAGGTTGAAAACCAACAGCCAAGACGCGTCACAACTAGTGATGGGCTCGCTGCGACGGACACGCACCACGCCAAGCCCCAAACACCCTTTTTCCTAAAACAAAATTCAATAAGTTGACAATTAAAAACGCAAAGGAAACCAGACGCCACATACATAGTCACACACCACACATGTTTTGCATGAAGCCGGTAAAAGCTTGAGCAGTTCTTGCACAATAATAATATCTGTTTCTTCGTTCGGCCGATCCAACTTCATTATAGTCTTCAAATATTATCATTATCCAGTTTACTTCGGGATCTGCAAAAATAAAGTTCAATAAATCTATGTTTTTTTTTTCTCCGTTAAGCTGTGTATGGTGAATACGTGTTACTAGAGAGCATCTTTAATTCAGTCTAATATGGGAAAAATTCTTAGAAATGGATGGAAACTTGTTGGAATTTCACAACAATTAAAATTGTAAACGAATTGTCTAAATATCCACAAAGTTATATGTCGAGAAAATGGGTAGGTTTGAAAGTGTCTAATTTCTTGTTTTTTAGTATTATTTTTTCTTTTTAAAATGCATACCATTATCTTCACAATATTTAGATGCGGAGTTCTTTTATTATTTAGATTTAAAGTATTCTTACATATCTTTAAACAAAAAAATATATTATCTTTTTACACGTTTGAGATTTCACATTCTTCTATTTTCTCACAGAACGTTTTGTTGCAATAAATTTTAGAAAGGGAGGGGCAATGTTAATGAAAACATTAAAATATTTAGGGCTGAAGTTGTTATTTATACCTCATCTCCGACTGACACATTCCTCACTGTTCCATCTATCTCTTTAACTTGGACATAAACCCTATTTCATTACACTGTGAAGACATGGATATGATGATGGAGCTTGACAAGCTTCCTGACCCATTTTCTCTCCCTTTCCAAGACCTTTCTGATTCATCCATCATGGATTTAAACTTCTCCGGCGGAAATTCCACCATCAACCACCGTGCACCACCGCATCAACTACTACAACACCCCAGTTACCCTACACCACAGTTTACAATTTCCCATGATCATTATCCACGTGCGAGCTGGCTACAACAGAAGCCAGACTCCGTGGAGGCGATGAGGGAAATGATTTTCCGGATGGCGGCATTGCAGCCGATCCAAATAGACCCTGAATCTGTGAAACCACCAAAGAGAAGGAACGTGAAGATATCAAAAGATCCACAGAGTGTGGCGGCGAGACACCGGAGGGAGAGGATCAGTGAGCGGATTAGGATTCTACAGAGATTAGTTCCCGGAGGAACAAAGATGGACACAGCATCGATGTTGGATGAAGCTGTGCATTACATGAAATTCTTGAAAAAACAAGTTCAAGTAATGGAACAGGCGGCTGTCGGAGGTGGTGGGGGAAATATACCGACGACTGGAATCAACGGTGTTATCGGAATCTGTCCCACCACCACCATGACTCATCATGACGCTAATAATTACCCGAATGTAATTAGAGCCTGCGGTGAGCCTAGTGCTCATATGGTGGGCTCTATGGAGTTGCTCAAGTGATAGAGATGGGCTGAGGGCAGTTTCGTAATTTAACATTGGGATTAGCAGCTTATTTATGTTTGAAGGGCCTTCTTAATGGATTAGTAAAGATGGAGGGTGGAAATGAATATACTTGTATTTTCCAAGAGTGTATAAGCATTATCGGAAAACTAAACTCCTACCTTCTAAAGGGGTTTAATTAATTTGTAATTGTTGATTAACAAAATAAATTCTATTACATTTTTATAAAACATTACTCCTATTCATTCTTTTTATAAGCTTTTTTTTTTTCCTATTTTAAGTCTTATATTGAATTCGATTTTATTTTTAAATTTAATGATATTCGGTTATTGATATTTTTTATATTTTATTATTAAACATTTGACAAATTACAGGAATTATCCACTGATTTGGGTTAATTTACATGTTTAATTGTTATTATTATTATTATATTTTTTAAATTTAGATGTTCTATATTGTTTGTTTTCGTTTGGAATATAGTCTAAGTTAAAATGTTCATACCACATATATATATATATATATATATATATATATATATATATATATATATATATATATATATATATATATATATATATATATATATATTGTTTGGGTCCTACCCAACGCATTAAGACATTTCCCGATTGTCCTAATTTGTTGTAACCATGCCCTTAATCTTCAAAATTGTCCTCATTTTTGTCTATCTCACATCGACATCCTCCATCTCCCACCCAAAAAGAGCATCGTTGGCATCTCTTAACATCTTAGATAGTTAAAACCTTTTAAAAAAATATCTATATTTAGAAAAAGTTAAAAAAAAAAGTGCATCGTTGGCATCTCTTTAACATCTTAGATAGTTGAAACCTTTTAAAATAATATTTATATTGAGAAAAAGTTCAAAAAAAAATGCATATATATGTACAAACTCAAATATATAGGATTTTTCAACATTGGTTTTAGAGTTTATCTTATATCAAAAAAATAACTAAATGTATATAAATTCATCATTTATTAATCTTTTTCCATATTGATATTCGGAATAAAAATAAAAATAAAAAATTATGTAAAATGTGCATATACATATATACACAAAACAAAAATATGAATATATGCACATTTACATATATGCATATTAATGTACAGTTCAAAAAACATTTTAATAAGTTAAAACACCGTTATAGAAGGTGATTTTTTTTTTAAATTTAAAAATATTTTTCTACTTATGTGCATATCGTGGACATTTTACTTTATGTGCATGTGGTGCATGTGCATGTGAAGCACATGTTATACATTTTTTTTCGAATATCAATATGGAAAGAGGTTAAAAAAATAATGAATTTATATATTTTTTTATATAAGATAAGTTTTAAAATGAGGGTTGAAAATACGCCTGACAATTGGGTTGGGTTCGTGTTGGAGGGTTACGGATTGGCGGGTCAGAATACATTGACCCAACCCAACCCATATAATATATGGGTTGGTGGGTTGGCAGGTTGAAAACATCATCCCAACCCAACCCATATAACCCGTATAAGTATATGGGTTCGTGGGTTACTGGGTTAATGGGTCGAACCCAACCCGTATAACTCATTTAATAAGAAACACATTTTAAAATAAAATAAAAAAATACAAATAAAATAGCGTCATAAAGTCTTAAATATTCAACATAAAGTCATAAACAGGAGTGACGACGACGAGTGGTGTGCGACAGCCGAAGGACGAGAAGATGAGTGGTGTGCGTGCAACACTGCGACAGTCGATGACTCGATGCCTCAATCGAGGGAGACGGTAGACACGGAGTCGTGAGTTTGGAGACTGAAGACTGAATTTATTTTTGATTAGGGGCAAGCAGTTTTGGAATTCAGAAAACGATTAAACGATAATCAAATATTCAAAACTGATAAATAATTAAATATATTTTTCAAACATATATATATATATATATATATATATATATATATATATATATATATATATATATATATATATATATATCGGGTTGGCGGATTGACCCGCGAACCGAAACAGGTAACCCAACCCAACCCAGGTTGGCGGGTCAAAAATCTCAACCCAAACCCGTTTATATTCGGGTTGGGTCAGGGTCGGGTTACAGGTTGGGTCGAAGATTGTCACCCCTAGTTGAAAAGGTGATCCTATATTCTAAAAGTGTTAGTGATCTTTATAGAGCCAACCCATAATATATATATATATATATATATATATATATATATATATATATATATATATATATATATATATATATATAGAGAGAGAGAGAGAGATAGAGAAAGAAAGAGAGGTGTATCATTTGTATGATTTTTAGCGAACCAACAAAATAAATCTTTACATAATACCAAAATAATATGATTTTGAAAAAAAATTCAAAAATGAAATGCATCGATAATTCATTTTTCTGATGATTCATTAAATTTGTGTGAAAAATGAATTATTAATGTATTTCCGAGAATTATTTTTATTAAATCATTTTTATTTTTATATTATGTAATGATGTATTTCGTTTGTTGATAATAAAACAAGCAAATAGTACACTTATTAACTTTATACTAAATATGTACTTTTTATTTGATCTTGATTATATATATATATATATATATATATATATATATATATATATATATATATATATTTTTTGATTCAATGAAAAACTATTTTAAACGATAGAACCAACTAACAAATCTCATTCGTACGAGACAAAATGATTATAGGTTAGACGCATATTTACCAGATCATTGCACAATAACTCATCATTTTCTTTTTCTTTTTTAATTCTTAGGATAAATTTGTTATAAAAAAAATGAAATATAAAAAAATTCATAATTTATTTTCTTTTCCATAGACATTTATACTGATATAGAACAAACAATTTTTTTTGGAAAAAAACTCCACCTTATTTTGTTGTTTTTTTAATATATAATTTTATGTTTTATCTAAAACCACAAAGTATACAAAAATTTATCAAATATTTTATAAATAAACATCCATATCGAAATAAAAAGTTTAGTTGTTTTACCTTTATTTCGTTAAATTTACTATAAATACGAACTATATTTAATTCAGTTTTTAACATTCAAAATGTGAATTTGTGTTACTATTTCAATATTATGGTCATTCATAAAAATAATTTAGTAAATTTTATATGTGGATCGAAATATATATTTATTTGTATATTTTATTTTATTTTAACGTTTTTTATTATTAATAAATAGTTATATAAAATTTGCAAGTAAATTACTTATACTGTGAATTTGAAGTGTATATGATGTTGTTTCAGAATTCACAATATGAATCTGACTTACTATATTATTCACATAATAAATATGAACAATATATAATTTAGATTTTAGCATTTATAATGTGAATCTAAGTTATACTTTTATTATAAAAATATTGTTCTTAAGCATCAATATGAATTTTTATTTAAAATGTACATAATGTTATGAACTTTGATATATTTATTTTATTTTTTCGATAAAAAGATAAACATCAATACTTCAAAAAAAAAAAAAAACAAAGTGGATATAAAAAAAAACAAGTCATTTTTGATATATCAATATAGAAGTTTATGGAAAGAGTATAAATAATGATGAATTTCGGTATATATGTGTTTTTTTAATAAAAGCTTAATCATAAAAATTAAAAAAACAAAAAATAAATGATTGTCTATATGATCTAGTGAATTAACGTCCACTATAAATGTTGAAATTGATTTCTTGGTTTCATAGTTTATATCCATTATTCCTTGAACTTTTATATATATATATATATATATATATATATATATATATATATATATATATATATAAGAGAGAGAGAGAGAGAGAGAGAGAGAGAGAGAGAGAGAGAGAGAGAGGTTGCTTCCGGAAGAAGGGTAGGATGATTGGCTTGTTGATGTCCGAAGGATCATGCCACACCAAAGGGAATCCAATTAAGTGCTACCTATCCAAATTGAAAAAGCAACAAGAAGCTAAGAGGATAAATTAAACAAATGTATTATGGTCAATGTTAGATCTAGTCCACCTAGATCTACATGTTTTCTTATGTGAGGTTCCATGTAGTTATACATATATACATATTGCTTATCATATCCACATCATTGTTTTTAATTCTTTGTTGGATATCGTAAGTTGCATTATGCAATGGATCGTAATGGTTTAGTCATAATGTTTGACGGTATGAGGGCCTTAAATACCGAGGCTTTGATGATACTTTACGGTCTAAGTATGAATGGTAGCTCTAAGCAAAAAAAAAAAAAAGAAACTTGTTAGCAAAACTATGAATATCTAGGATAAATTTTGTATGTAATATAATAAATAATGATTTTTTTTTTGTCACATGTCACACTTTAATTTATTTTACCACTTGTTATTTTGAGATTATTTTAATTTAGTTTTTTTCTACATATCATTTTATGTTTTTTTTATTGAATTTCACATAATATTTAAATGTAATAAATATAATAATAAATGCATACCAATTAATTTCATTAATTGACTTTCTTTTTAATTTCAAATTTTCTAAATTAAAACTTCATTATTTTTGTTCGTTTATTTATTGAAATTGTTTGTTTAGATTTAAAAGAGAAAAAACAATTTAATTTTAATAATTAAATATTTTTTTATATTTTTCTTATAATTCAAACTTCACAAATATTTAGAATTTCATATTTTTTTTAAATGAATCAATATAATACATAAGTCTTACACCTAATAATAAATATAATATGTATAATAAATAAAAGCAAATTCATATCTCCATAGTTATCAAGAGTATTTAAGGTTTAAGTTTATTGTAAGCCCAAACATCTTAAAGTGGATATATAGTTTATATTGAAATGTTATTATTAGTATTTTAAATATGGGATAATTGTATAAATTAATCATTAGAAACTAAATTATTACTAAAAATGATTAGTTTTTATTTGGTTTCAAAAATAAACCAAAATCTTCTGAAAGCCATGTCCGGGGTTAATACATTTTGTTTAGGATTATTAGATTTGT